GCTCCGCCCCTGCCCGTCCGCAGCCCCGTCCCCATCCCCCGGGCACGCCGCCCCCAGCTCCGCCAGGCATGCCGGGAAGTTCAAGGTTCAAGGATCGGCGGGCCCCCGAACCCCAAACGCGGATCGGGCCCCCCCTTCCCCGCAGTAACAGTAAAAATCCGTCGTGGATTTGTGGCGGCCTGCGTGAAGTATGCGGTGCGGCCTGTGCCTGCTTTTGTTTTGGCCGGCGTCCACCCCACCCCGTTCGCAACGCCGCCCCCTCTCCGTCGCACCCTCGGCCAAGCGCCACCCGATCATAAAAGTATGAATGTACATCATAAATTTCCGCCCTTATATTTTTTTTTTCGTCTTTTATTCGCAGTTTCCCAACACGACGTGTATATATATTTTTTTATTCGTGTCATTACGGTGGCTATGGCTATGGGCTGGTGGCTTGGCGTGGCACGGCACGCCACGGAGTTACATGCTGCCGCTGTGTCCAGCCGCTTTATGGTTCCAACAAAAGAGTGCGAGTGCCCCGGGGGTGAATATCGGCCGGCCGGTTCGTACAGTGGCCGATCCCGAAGGTGAGTACTTTCGCCGCCCCGCCTCTCTCTCGCACCCGTGGGGCGCCCCGTGCAGTGCGAGAGAGAAGGGGCGACGGAGGTGCGCATTCGGCCCGCGGCGCGCCGCGGCGCCCCTGTCACGGCCTTAAAAACGACTCGAATCGAATGGCGCGCGGTGACATTTCCATGCAACATTTTTGCGGGGGGGGGGGGGGGCGTTCGTGCGCCTGGCGTTATGGCCGCCGGGAAATGGCGGCGAAAGGAGGGAAAGGAGGGAAGCTGGGCCAAACAGTGTGCCGGAACACGGCGGCGGCCCCCAGAAGCGATTTCCGCGAGTGTCCGCGGCGGAGTGGCGGGGGGCTGTTCGCACGTTCGCGCCGGTAACGGCGCTGGGAACATCTCCGCCCCCGCCACGCCCCGCCACGCCCCCTCGGGACCCCGCCCCGCCGCGCCGTGTGGTTAAAGACTTTGGGCGTATTGACACTACGCGCCGCCACCGCCACACACACACACACACACACGCGCGCGGCAATTTTCCTTCCTTGCACGGCCGGCCGCCTCGCCGGCTGCACCGTGCGTCCTCCACTGTGTGGCGGCGCGGCCGGACCGGCCGGTCGACCGGCCGGCACTCCGTTCCTCCTCGCTGAGGGCTTCGTATTTCTGCCGGCCGGCCTTGCGCGCCGTGCTGCTGGTGCACATGTGTGGCGACGTCGCGGTGCGCGGCACGGCCTGCGCAGCGGCTCGTGACAATCATTTTCACAGCTCGCGTCGCGGAAGCGCGAGCCAGCACGCACGCACGCAACGGGGCTCGGCTGCTGCGAAGCGAAAGGCCCCGCCGTTCACATTGACCACCATGCACGCGGTGAAATGATGACGCTCCGAAATGTCATTAGTGTGGTCGGCCGGCGCGGCCGGGCCAGGGTCGAAGAGTTTCCTCTCTAATTCCCCCCGCAATTTCCTACAATTAAGACCGGACCTGTGTGCGTGTGTGTGTGTCGCCGAGCGCAGTCTCAGTGCAGTGGGTCGCAGGGCTGTGTTAAGGGGTGCCTCCCCCCTCTTCTTCGTCGCCGCCCCCGCCCACCCGTGCGTGACATCCCCGCCCCCACCCCCGCCGCCTTCCTGTCCAGTATGGCCACGGCCCCTCCCGCCCCCCTCGCAGAGGTGCCAACCTTTCGACATTAAAAAATATTTTATATACTCGGCAAGAAGAAGGAGGAGGAGGAGGAGGAGGAAATTATGTTGCCCTTCATTTTGATTGCCAAGGCACCCGTGTTTCGCGACGATGTTGCCTCCTTGTGCCCCTGTTGTGTGATGAGAATCTTACACGTCGTTAGTGTGCGTGCGTGTGTGCACGTGTGTGTGTGTGGTACTCGGAAAAAACGTCGCGTTTCGCAGGAATCTACCTCACTTTTCTCTCCCCGGCATGCAAATTGCGATCATTAAGCTCCGAAACCTGACGTCGAGGGAGAGGGGGAACGGGAAACGGGGGGGGGGGGCAGCAGGGGACGCCGCGATTGAATGCACTAACGCATCGCGGTGCATTCCCCGCGGCCCGCCGAGTTTGATTTAAAAGGCGTGACCTTCGTGCCCACTGTAAGCGGCGCGCTGTAAAAGCTAAAAGCGGCTTTGACAAAAAGCGAGGTATGTGCGCCGGTCACGTGACCGGCCCGCAGAAATGTCACTCAGATTCCAGAGGCGTTGCCAGGCCCGCCTTGACGGGGTCCTTGGCGGGGCGGGGCGGGGCGGGGCTCTCGGTGGGTGAGTAGGGGTGGGCGGCTGTCGCCGGGCAAGCGGCCAGGCAAGCAGGCAGGCAGGCAGGCAGGCGGGCGGACGGCATTTAGATGACGTTGCAGTTTCGGTCGCTAATTTGGGTTTTTAAAGCTTTAAAGCAAGAAGTGCGACGAAGGCCGGGCCTGGCCGGGCCTAATGCCACGGCTCACCGCGCTCGTCCGAAACTCTAAAACGGGGCGGCCGCGCTAGCCGCGCCTGTCGCCAGGTGCTCCGAGGTACCCCGTGCACAGCACGAATTCTCCTTGTTTCGCTGCGTCGCTGGGCTAGTGGCGGAGGGCCCGCTGCTTTGCCAGGCTGTCTGCCTGCCCGCCTGCCGGACGGGCTTGTTCCTTATGTCAATCAGTCCATCACTCGCCAGTCAATCCAATACGCCCTGCCGGCCCTGCCAAATCAAACCGACTCCCTACGATACTGCGGGGCACTTGGTTCACACACACACACACACACACACACTTGCACCGGAAGCCTACAAGCCCCGCATACGTGATGGGCAGTCACTCCATTCATAAAACTGAAACCGTCAATCTGGACGCTGCGCTTTAGAGTGACTGACTATATTCCGATCCGAGTGAGGGGCCCAAAGGGCCGAAGGGAGAGAGGGGGGGGGGGCTTGCTCACACTCGCACACAGCCCCCCTCCCCCAAAGCTGGCGCAACCAAGATGCGATACAACGGTCATTCATAGAGGCCCCCCTTCCCTTCCACTTTCTGGACCAAGTCGCTTCCCATCTTCGTCCGTCCTTGTCGAATCTTCGCCCACCTCTCCCTCTCTCCCCTTTTTTGTGCGCGCGTTAAACGTGACGGTCCGAAAATAGTACTACTTTTCCACGAGAAGCGCTTCGCCTCCCAGCCAGGTGCGGGCGTGGTGGTTTTTTTTGTGTGTAGTATTCGAGTTCAAGAAGGGGTTTTTTGTGTGTGATGATGCTCTTCCTGTGAATGAGACGAAATGAAATGCGTGGTGTGCAGCGGCAGCGCCAAGTGGGCAGTGGGTACCAGCGGGACCAGCGGGACCAGCGGGTACCACGTAAGGTACTTCATTCACCTGGATTACCGGGGCCTTGGGGGAGCGGAGGGAGAGGTGGGCATCGAGTGTAGTATCACGTCCGAGCGCACTTTGTCCGCACACACTCACACACACACACACACACACAGGCGCAGGCGGGGCGCTTTCCGATTGTTGGGGCGCAGCAGAGCTGGAGCGTCCGCCGGAACTAGCACCGAAACTTTGGGATAAAAATTGTGACAGCGGCGCGGCGGGCAGCGGCAGGCAGCCGTCTTGGCATGAGGCCGGTGCAGCTGCCGCCGCGGCACGCCGTCGGGCTGCCTCGGCCGCCGCGCGCCCCGGACACGCCGCCACGACGCCGCCACGACGACGACGGCGACACGTCCCCCGGCTACATAATTGCCTGGAGGCCGAGCGGCGGGGCGAGGCGGCAACCTGCGGCCGCGCGGGTCAGCCACTGTTTTTCCTAATTAACCGAGGCATCGCTCCGTAGGCAGAAGCAGGCCGAACGGGCCGGGCCGAGCCAGGGCGGCCGCCCGCTGCCGCCGGACCGCTGGGTGCACTGCCACACCGCGATGTGTGCGGCAGGGCCGGGCCGGCCAGCCAGCGCGCGAGAGCGCACCCATTAACTTTTCCGCGTCGCGTCGGGCTGTCGACAAGTCCGGCGGCACACTGATTCCGAGAGTCACTCCCTCTCTCTCGCACTCATGGCGCGTCCCGTGCAGGTGCGAGAGAGACAGAGCGACGGCTCTCGGAGCCACTCCGCTGGCTGTGGCGCGCTGCCAGTGCAGCCGACGGCAGCCGATGCACGCGGCAGCATTTCGCAGTGCCACGCGGTGCTACGCACGGCTACGCAGCCCGCATGCGGCCACTGGCGAGCGATTCGGGAGAGTCGCGAGCGATTCGGGAGAGTCGTCTCGTCTCTCTGTCTCTGTCGCACTCATGGGGCAGTCTAGAAGGGTGCGAGAGAGACAGCGACGAACCGCGCTGGCCGGCAGCAAGGCATTCCTCGCAAAAGTGACGGGCGAATTTCTCTCGCGCGCAAACTTCGCTGGACTCTCCTCGGACTCTGGCCACTCTGGTCGGGCCTCCCCGATGCAAGGTATTAATATTCCCTTCCGCTCCGACAACGCAGCAGGCGTTCGGCTAATAAATGCAGACAGCGCGGCCGGGGCGGCCGGGCCGGCCGGCCAGAGCGAGAAGGATGGTGCGCTTCCGGGCGAGCCCGCGCGCGAGCGACGGAGACGGAGCGATCCCCTTCCCAAAACCATAATTTAAAGGAGTGAAAAATACGAGTGGCGCGCCCCTCCCACTCCTGGCTGCCCATTCTTTCTCCGGCCGCGGCCGGGGATCGAACCCGAGTGGCTCGTGCAGGCTCGTGTGTCTCGGTGCGCTGTGCCTCGCGGAGAGCAAAGCGAGCACAGCGCCCCCTGGTGGCCGAGTGCGGCGTCTTGACACAGTACTGGACCCCCCGGCCCTCGGCGCGGCGGCACCTGTCCGAATGGGTACCCGCCGCCCGCCCCGCCCGCCCGGCCCGTGCCCTTACACCTGGCCGGCCGCGGTGTTGTGACGTCAGCCTCCACCTGCTTCGCCTGCTTCGCCTGCTTCGCCTTCGCCGCCCTAACGGCCCGACTAACGCCTCGCTTTCTGTTTGTGTTGCAGCGGCGGCGAGGATGACGGCGGGCTCGCAGATGTGCAGGCCGCACCACTTCTCCCCCTCACCGCTCCACCCGTGGCTGTCGTCGTCAGACGCGACGTCGGCCAAGCCCGCGTCGTCGTCGTCCTGGTGCAACCCCTTCAGCTCGTCGTCCAACAACGCCGAGCACAACAACCCCAGCACCACCCCAACCAACAACCCCTCCACAACGCCCACCAACTCCTCCAGCAACAACAACAATAATAATAATAGCACTAGTAATAACAATGATAGCCAAAACAACAACCGGACGGAGCAGAGCGAGGACCAGAAGCCCTCGTCGCCGTCCGTGAGCAGCCACCACGTGTCGCAGCACCACCACCTGTTCTCGTTCCCGCCGACGCCCCCCAAGGACGCGACGCCCGACTCGGTGACGGCCGCGTCGACGGCGGCCTCGTCGTCCAACGACTACAACGCGGCCATCGCGCAGGCCGCGCACGCCGCCGCCATGGGGGCCGCCTTCATGCAGCAGCACCAGGACGTGTCCGGGTGCGGCGTCGGCGGCGTGGGCGGCGTGGTGGGCCCGCTGGACGTCAAGCCCACCATGCTCTCCTCGAGCTGCTCCAACGCGGCCGCCTCCTCCAACAAGCAGCGAGAAGGTAACGCCAGCAACACCACCACCTCGTCGAGCTCCGCCTTCAGCTGCTCGTCGGCGGCCACCTCCCCCGTCGACGACCCCGCCCCCTCGTCGTCCCCGGGCAGGAGGCCCGACGGCGACTGCATGGACCAGCAGCAGCAGCACATGCAGGACACGTCGTACCCTCCCCCTCCCCTGCAGTACGGTGGCCAGGGCGGCGGCTACATGGGTTACCCTCACCACCTCAACCACCACATGTTCGGCGCTAAGACGTCGCCCACCCCCCTCGGGGGACTGGGGAGCAACAAAGTGTCGTCGAGAAATAAGTCGCGATCGAGCGCCGGTAAGGCATCCATCCCTCCAGGCATGCCGGTGGTGGTGTCTGTCTCTGCCTCACTGCCTTCGGGCGCCTTGGGCTGCCTCGCCTCGTCTGACCTAACCCAATGCACGTGCCGGGCCTAACATCTCTTCCTCTCTCTCTGTCTGTTGATGGTGTTGGTTTGGCTTGATTGTTTTTTTCTGTGTGCGTGTGTGTGTGTGTGCACTTATCTGACCGTGAGTAAGCATCCCTGCTCGTCCATTACGGGAGGGGCGCGCATCCAAATTACACGACGACGGCGTCCTCGGGCGGAGCGTCCGCGTCGGCCAGGGCGGCGACGCCGTGACGCAACGCGTGTCGATGACGGCGGCGGCCCTGGCGGTCTGGTGGCCTGGCGGTCGCACGACGCCGTCGGCGACTCAATCCCGGGGATTACGCGCGCGTTTGCAGCCCGGCGTGGCCCGGCTCGGCTCGGCCCGGTCCGGTCCGCCGCGGACCGTTGGTCTCGGCTCGACCCCGGGTCGGCGGACTCGGCTCGCACGGCCGCCGCCAAAGAGTCGCGCGTCCCGCCGGTGTCCCTCCGGTGTCCTTTCGGTTTCCTCCGGTACGCGCCGCCGCCATTGTTATTTCGCAGCGAGGGAAGCGAAGGACGGACGAACAGACCGACAGACAGACGGCTTGAGGACGTTTGTCTTATTGGTTATGACGTCACAGCGCACCGCGCCATTCTCAGGCAACAATGGAGTGGCACCTTGCGTCACCGTGTCCATCCATGCCCGGCCACCCTTTCCGCCCGTCCGTCTGACTGTCGTCTGACTGTCGTCCGACTGTCGTCCGACTGTCCCGCGGCGGCCTCCCGGCGACGCGAAAATTGCCAAACTGAATGGCGGCGCCGCGGTCCGCTTTGGTCCGCGGTTCCCACTACGGTCACAATAAGTCACGAGGTGTGCACACAAAACTTTCACTTCTCTTGATTAAGCCCAGCCGCCCTGCCGCCGGCGGCCTGTCCTTTAATTAGCATTCGGGGTAATTATTTTCTAGTGTCCGCGCACTGCTGACCTCGAAATGACAGCCAGCATGGCGGCGGGGCAGGGCGGGGCGGGGGAGCGCAGATGTCGTCACATTATGTGAGCATTTACACAATTTCCCCGGGTTCCGCGGCACCCCATCAGCAGCGCTCGGAATGAGTCTGCCGGTTTCGGCCACCGCGAGCACGGCGTCGAGCACCGCGCCGAGCACCGCGATGGGAACGGCTAAAATGTCCGCGGCCAGGAACAATGGGACGCGGGCCGCCGGATTTGGACGAAAACAAAACTGCGTCTAAACTGGAGCGGCCTTCCCTGGGCCATCCCCGGCAGGCGGGGAAAAGAATTAGGAGGCGGCGCGGCCGGTGTTTGAACCCGGGACCCCGGGGCGAGGCGGCGGGTGCGCGGCGAGTGCGGTGTGGGTGGACGGGCGGGCTGGACGGACTGGCCGGCCGCGGCGTAGCGGTGCACCGCGGCCAGCCAGGGGAGCCAGAGCGTAACCTTCTGGTCCGGTGGCCCCCGAGCAGCAGCAGTGGAGGTGAGCCGAGCCGAACCGAAGCGGCAGGCCCGCTACCGCCCGCACCGCACGTCCCAAGAAGGGCGGCCTGCGGTGGCCTGGGGTGGGCGGAGGGCGACGTCGCGTGCGGTAGGGCGGCCTAGGGCGACCGGGGCCGGGGGCTGCGAGGGCTGCAAGGGCCTGCATCGGGGTCGTGTTGTCGCGACCCTCGTGTGTGGCGCCCCATGCCGCCCTGGGTGAAGGGCCCGGTACGTGCCCTCCGCGCGCCGCGCAGACAATGCCCCTGCAGCCCTTGGAGTGCGCCCTGCCTGCGCCTGCCTACGCCCGCACGCCGCCCACGTCGCGACACCCCCGCCCCGCCGCGCCCCGGTCCGCGACGCCGCCGCCGCGACCGCCGCGCCCGGCCGGCGATGTTATCAGTCCATTATCAGGCGGCAATCAGAAGCAAAGCACTTCCCGAACAGGGAAAAGAGCCTCCGTTTTTTTGGCGGTCGGTGCCGCCATGCCGCCAGGCCGTCGTGTCCGTCAGTCTCTCCTCGGACCGCCACCGCCATGGCGCGCCACCCAACGGCCGAAATACGGTGTAGGCCCTTTGATTCCGCTGTTTTTTGTTTCCCCGAAAATGGCCGCGGCGACGCGATGCCGGCCGGACGGCACGCTGGAAAAAAGGAGCCCGGTCGAGAGGAAAGGAAGAGCGAGAGAGACAACAACACCAAGACAGAGACAGAGCCTGCTGATTATAGAGCACACAGACAAAGGCAGAGAGGCAGTGGAGCGATGACCAACGGGAAGCGGGTGGCTCCCCGCCGCGCCTCGCCCCGCGCCGCCCCGCCCCGCGCCGCGCGCACTCGGGGGCCCTCGCAGACCAACCTGCTATTTGCCAAGGCTGGCCCTTCTCCCTTCCCTTCCGCTGGCTCGCAGTGTGCTTGCAGTGCAGTGCCGCCTAAGGGCCCCGAAGGGCCCCGCGAGTAATGAGCTGTTTGCCTGAACCGAAGAGTCCTCTCCGCCCCTTTCTCCCAAGTTTTGCATGTCTTCTCGAACTCTGCCCGCCTGTCTGGCTATAGGCGGGGAAAAGAGAGTCAGTCTCGAAGGCGCCCCGGTCGGGGGTCGCAACCGAGCCCCCAGCGGCGGGGTGCCCCACTGGTGCCCCACTGGTGGTCGTGATTTCGATCCCGGCCGCGGCTCGCCTAGCCTCGCACCGGGTACTCTGGGCTGCGCGGGTCCGCGGCAACCAGCCATGAAGCTCCTCCCCGAACCAATTTGTCGAGCGGGGACGGCGTGCCGCGGCGTGGCGTGGCGCGGCGTAGTTTGGTACCGCAGACCGCGTGCCCGTTACAGTGGAGGAGGGCGCCCCCGCGCCGCCCCGCCCCGCCCCGCCGCGGAAGTCGTGATCGGCCCTATATTCCAGGCAGTAAATCTCCGGGTCTCCGGCCGAGGTGGCAGCGCCGCAGCGCCGCGGCGGCCGGGCCGGCCAGCGGGACGTACTGGATGTGTAGCGCCGGATGGAGTAGAGCCGCGCCGTTCGCCCCGGGGCAGAGGTCCCGCCTCACTGTCCGGAGTCCAGACACCGCGGCAAGGCGGCGGGGCCGGCAGAGCGGCGGGGCCTCCAAGTGGACCGGGACCGCTAGGGCCGCGAAACCGGCGGCGCCGCGGCCGCGACGGCGGCCTCCAACCTCCAACAGGGTCGCCGTCAGGCGAGGCGGGCGAGGGCGAGGCATGAACGCATTTCCATGTAAATGCCGCGCGCGTCCGTCTGCTCGGCTCGGTTTGAAATTCTACGGCGGCGCGGCGCAGCACGCTTCGGTCCGCCACGGCCGTTGGCTAGCTCGTTGGGCCGCACCCACGATGCCGCGCCACGGCCCGTCAGCGCCCTGGACGGCTTCATCTCGCGCCGGGCCGGCCGGCAGGCCACAGGGCATCGAAAGTAGCTTCGTTTATTTTGGCAGTGTTGTGACTGTTGTTTGGACGGTTCGCGTTGACGTGCTGCACTTGTTACTCCTTAGCATTCGCTGCGCACCAATAACACACCCCGCCCAGCCAGGCCAGCCAGGCGAGCCAGGCCTCGGCATGCTGGCCGCGCTGGCCGCGCACTCCGCCGCCGGGCCCGCCCTCTTTAGGTGACTTGAGCAAACTAATGATAGTGTTCCGTGCCACCGCGGCCTCCCTCCCCGCTCCCCTGCCCGGACTGCCTCGCCGTCATTGGTGGGATCGCCGCCGGTAATGCGCACCCAGGACGCGCCACTGCAAGCACGGCCAGAGAGGGAGACAGAGAGGAGACAGAGAGAGAGAGAGAGAGAGAGAGAGAGAGAGAGAGAGAGAGAGAGAGAGAGAGAGAGAGAGAAGGAAAGGAAAGGAAAGGAAAGGAAAGAGCAAACAATCGGGGCGATTGTTTCCTCGGGACTTGACTGACTTGAGTGGCGTCCTGCCGCGTCCAGCCGCGTCCTGCAGGCGGTTCCGAACCGGGGCCTGCCTCTCTCGCACCCCCTGGGAGCGCCCCGCGAGTGCGAGAGAGACGGAGCGACGAGAGCACCGTTCGGAACCGCCTGCAGCTCCGGGGCCGCGGGGCTCTGCGGCAGCGTGCGAGTGCTTTTCGACTCGGCTCGCGGACGGAGCGGAGCGGCGGAGTGACGGACTCGGCGGAGTGGTGGAGCAGCGCGAGCGCACCGCCAGCACCGCCCTCTCGGCGTCGCTTCTTTTGTTTACGAACTGCGCTGCCATTTTGTTCTGCGTGCCGTGACGAAATAACGAGTGAGTGGCGGGGCGGGGCGGGGCGGGGCGGTCGCGGCGCAGGTGACCTCCTCGCGGGTTCGCGTCAGCAAACCGCGCTGTGCTGCGCGTCTCAATCTCAATTTCCTTCGCTGCTCCGCTGCGTCAAGTTTTTGGGCGCGCAGCCATTTGCGGCTGGCGGCCCGTGCGTCCCGTGCGGCCTGCCGGCTTGCCGCCCGTTCCGTGCCACTGCGCACCCCTTCCCCTGCCCTTCCCGCGCAGCCTGGCGTGGCCACACCAGCCACACACGCAACTTCGCCGAACGGCGCGACGGGCGCCGGGTTCGAATCCCGGCGCCGGCCACCCGGACGTGCAGTTTCCGTCCTTCGGGGGCAGCAGGTCCACGTCGTCCACGTGGGTGAGAGGGTCTTGTCTTTCTGCTCGGAGGAGGGGCGCTACAGTGGCGTGGCGGCGCGTTGACCCCTGCTACCGGCTGATTCCGAGCGGTGCCCTCTCTCTCGCACTCACGGGGTGTTCCGCATAGGTGCGAGAGAGACGGAGCGACAGGCCGACCTTCTGAGTCGCTCAGCTGGCTGTTGCACCTGCCCGCCGAGCACATGGGCACGCGCGGGGGGACGGACTGGGTACCAGGGGGCAGCGAGTCGGATGACAACGAAACCGGTCCCCGCGCTTTTAGGGGGTACTTTTTCCGTTGAGGGCGCCTCATTAATTGGGCTATTTTTATGTTTTGGGTCGTTTGTTTTCTTGCTCTTTTC